CACTACCGCCACCGCCACCGCTGCCACCGCCACCACCGCCACCACCGCCGCCACCCCAAACGGGACTGGCACCGCACTGAGCGCTCCAGCGGGGGTGAAACTCAGGGATGGGGTGGGCTGGTTTGTTGTTGTGCTGGGAGGGTGGCTTGGGTTTTTGGTTGCTCTGGGGGGGGCGGGGTGGTTTGGTGTTTGTTTTCCCCTTCCACAGATGAACTATAAGCAGAGAATGGAATCTTAAAAGAATAGCGGGGGGGATTTAATCTTTCTTTAAAATATTGAAAATGAAGTATTAGAAAATCAGTCAAAATTAAGAAAATCAAGTTTAGTTCAGAAGAGTAACTTAGAGGTCTACAAAGCGTACGATTCCAGGATCACAGACAAGATTCTTCTTTCAAAGCTATGAAGAAAAAATTCACAAAATTGTACTGTTTTCTCCTTTTTCTGTTGAACAAGAATCCTTTTCATCAAAAGCTCCTTTCTTTACTGGGTGAAATTAATGGTGAAATAGCAAACTAGGGGTTGAAGTACCAACCTCTGCGTTCAGACACTCACGTGTCTCGCAGCAGGGACTGCGCAGGCGAAGCTCCACTCCGCGAGCGCGCGCAGGTACCAGCCAGCCAGCGCCTCCCCGCCACGCCACTGCTGGACAGGCTTCAAGAACTGGCGCTAGCGAGAAGATTTTGTCCGTTGAGGACTACTAACACGACTAACTCCCAGAGCGGAGGCATTACTCTGCTTAAGCGTGCGCCAGCCTCTTCAATCCTGTGTAATACGAGGAAAATGTAAGTAAAGACCCTCTGAATAAAAAATTCTGATTTAAGGGCATCTGTTGTTATCTCGATACCCATTCTGCCACCCACTTAAAGAAAAGTGTATTTATATTGTGTTGAATTCACTCAAAGATCACCAAACATACCAATGACACAAAAATATCTTACTACTTTTAGTAATGTTTTTAATACCTTTTTACTATGCAACATATCCTACCCATGCAACTACTTACCTTGGCACCCCTCCTACCTATGCCACTAATTCATACGAAGCATTAAATCCCATTTAAATGTTATAGAACTAAAGAAGTGACCGATGGACCTCCAAAAAGAACTGAGAATTAAATCCAAGCACCCCAAATAGCCGTTCCAAGGCTGTTCTCCACAGTTACACACGCTGATCTGAAAGAAGCATAGCTCCGGCCGTAAGCTACAACCAACGCCGTGCCCACACAGAATCACAGAATAGTAGGGGTTGGAAGGGACCTCTGTGGGTCATCTAGTCCAACCCCCCTGCCCAAGCAGGGTCACCCAGAGCAGGCTGCACAGGACCTTGTCCAGGTGGGGCTGGAATATCTCCAGAGAAGGAGACTCCACAGCCTCCCTGGGCAGCCTGGGCCAGGGCTCCGTCACCCTCAGAGGGAAGAAGTTCTTCCTCATGTTCAGACGGAACTTCCTCTGCTTCAGTTTGTGCCCATTGCCCCTTGTCAAGTGTTTGTATTTGGGCACTTAAATAGGTATCCATTGTTTTAACAGCTTTCTCCAACATGATACAATACGCAGGGTAACTTCCTAGCAGCATTTTAAAACACCGCGGCGTCTGAGGCAGGAGGTGTTACGCCAGCTCTGTGCTCTCAAGCCACCAACGAACAAACTCCTAAAGCCGATAATCACACGGCACATAAAAACGCACACGCAAAGAGTCACAAACAGCGCACGCAAACAGTTTGTCCCAGCACACATACCTAGGCACAGAATCACAGAATAGCAGGGGTTGGAAGGGCCCTCTGTGGGTCACCCAGTCCAACCCCCCTGCAGAAGCAGGGTCACCTACAGCAGGCTGCACAGGACCTTGTCCAGGCGGGTCTGGAATATCTCCAGAGAAGGAGACTCCACAGCCTCCCTGGGCAGCCTGTTCCAGGGCTCCGTCACCCTCAG